AATAGAAAATAACACTTCCTGTAAAAGTACTAAGGGGAAACATAATATGCTTTTCTTGGCTGACAGAGCAGAAAAGAAACTTAGAGGACTTATTCCTGCTCTTTCTTGAAAGCTAGACTGTGAGAAGAAAGGGATGAAGGTTGAATATATTGATTGAGATATCTGGTAACCTGTGAATACGGCTCAATGTATAGAACAATATGCCTTTTTTGCTTATCTTACACTAAACATTTAATATTTGCTCTCTTATTTCCTTAATAAGGGTGAGAGTTTCAGCTTAAAAAGTTTCCGAATGAATAACATATTGGGTCTCGGTATCTTTTGGTCATCAGCACTGCTTGTGTCGGGGTCTGACTCCGCTGCACTGAAGTAACTGGGCTATAGCACCAGGTGGGAGGATCGTTTTTCTCTGGGAGAGAGAAGAATGAGCTGCTGTAATGCACCACGGCAGCAGAGGCTGAGAACACAAACGAGCAGCCATCCTTTGAAGCCTTTTGCTTTTCAGGATTTCACTCCCTGTTTAAATGCATATGCTATACCTATTAAGAAAGCCACTGTTTTCAAACTATTTTCTAATTTATAATACTTATTGCTTCCCCCATCACACAGTCAATTTCCAATGAACTGTTTTAGAAAGGAAAATTTCAGCAATAAGGAGTATTTTTTTTAATGCAGATATCTTATGCTGTGTATAAAATTATCACGAACGTTCTGGAGCGTTCTGTAACGTTGTGTTATAATCTGATGGTTTCTCAACAGTTTATTACTATACATAATACACATTAAAATGTAATTGTTCTTACTACAAAATGATGAAAGTTCAACATGTAGTTTCTGGAAAAAGAGGTAACAATAATTAAATCAGAATCATAGAATGCTTAAGGTTGGAAGGGACCTCTAGAGGTCACCTAGTCCAACCCCCCTCCATGCACAGGGTCTCCAAAAACATGTGATAATAATTATAAAATGTGATAAATATGTGATAAAATCATTTATGTGATAAATAATTATATAAAAAATGAGAGTTTTTCAGTTTGTCATAAGTGCTAAGTGAAAATTTATACATTCTCATTCATTTTTCAGGACCTTGGTCCGTGTTACATTAAAGAAATTTCCTGTAGTTACAACACTAAGTGAATGCTGTTAAAAAATTACTAAAATTAATTTTAATTGTGTTCACGTTTCACTTAATTTCATACAGTACAAGTTTAAATGGATGTCTAAATAGTTAGAAAACTTAAGGCATTACACATTTTAATACTAAGGCACTTAAGTAAAAAATATCCAGTTCTTGTCAGTATAATAAATACTTGCATTTTTACAAACTAAATTAAAATAATAGCCTTAATGTTATAAATTCATGCATTTAAATTAGAAAATGCCCAAAGTAGAAAAAAAGGCCAAGGTTTGGAGGGCTCTCTTCTCAGAATGCAAAATGGCAGCTACACAACAGTAATGTGCCTTTCTGAATATTACTGCTGGTTTCTGGAGAGAAAATCACAACAAAAGATGAGTGTCTTTTAGCCACATGATTCTGCCATGCTGCCATGGAGTACCAAATGCATAAACATAGTACAGTAAAATAGAAACAAATCTTGGAAAAGGTCAAGCTGCTCTAAAACCGTCTGGTCTAAATAACTTCAGGAGGTGCTGCAAGTCTTCAGCTTTTTGGTTTGTTCGATGTTCCAACACCAACACTTAGGTCTAAATTTAACACTAATATTATCCGAAGTGCACAGAAAGTCTGTGTATCCAAAGAAAAAGTGTGTTAGATCTGGGAAAATACCAGAGTAGAAAGTGCAGGAATGTTATTGGAGAGCTGAAAACAAAGTTACCTGAAGAATATGGGAAGTTCTGCCACTTTGTGTAAATAGTCAAATATGATGAATTAAGATATCGTACACTGAAAATCCTTCGTAGATAGCAGTTTTGTTTTTAAAATTTGCCAAAATATTGTAATACCTGAGGTATAAGTGCTTACAATCACAGAACCAAACAGACCTCCCCCAAAAATCCCATTATTGATTTAATAATGGGATGAAGTCGCATCCTCTTGTGCTACATTTTGCTGGTTCTCCTCAGGTCCACAGTTCAACTACAGTGTAACTTGGCTGTGATTTTAATGGCTTTACGATGAAATGCTACAGGGAACGAAGGCAGTTGTTCACGCGCTAAAACCTTCCCGTGGCTGCAGAAGCCCAGTACAATGGCATGCTGCTAAAGGAAACTCTGCTGTACTGGCTCTTCTGTCAGAGGAAGTGTTAAAATGAAGGCCTGCTTAGTTTTCTGTCATGACAGTCCTTTTACAGATCCTCTACTTGGCCTGTACTGGGAGAGGAGCTCAGCAGTGTGCGGGATGACACTTGCCAGCTTTCCTGTCCAGCTGATGTCACTGCCAAGAACCTGAATTGCAGGTGATGAACTTCTGGCTCATCATGTAGCCACTGCAAGATTTCTTTAAAAGGTCAAATACAGAAGTTGTCAGTTAAATTTCCAAGGGCATCAACCACAGAGCCTGCCATCATAGACGCAGATGATGGAAAAAAGGAGGGATGGCACCAGCGTATGCAAACCCTCTGTTACTGTGAGAGGTAGATACTCCTTCTGCAACTGCAGCCATGTATGGATGTCAGTCCTGTTATTTTGGAAGGTGATAGACCCAACTGTCACTCAAAGGAGAATTTAAGAGCTGCTCAGTCAAATTAATCACCTGAGCTTGAAGCTGGGGTGAAATAAGAATGTTTAATGAACTTACGGAGTGAAGTTGAAGCAGCTGCACCAAATTACCATTGTAAATTGCATCCTGCTGTGCTTATATCCTATATACTTGAATAATCATATTAAACATATGCTATTTCAATGCAATCAGAAGTCCACTCATAAATAGATACTGCTGGCCTCTCGCATTTCCAAAATCTTAAGATTGTACTAAGAATGCTTAAAAGCGCTTTTCCTGCTAGAAAGCATGGGATATGCAGTGTTATAATTAGTGTCATTGACTTCTCTTGCTTATCGCATACTTCCAGGATCAGTTAGGAGGAAAAATACACTGACTTACAATGTACTGAAACACACTGATGCTCTCCCTGAACAGTAAATTTTTCTCCTAAGCTGTGAACTTGCAACAAACTACAACTAGTTGTGATTTTTTTTAATATAAAATGCCTTTAGCAGTTTGGGGGAAAAAAAAAAAAAAAAAACAGATACAGCCGCATTCATGAGTAGGTCAAGACCAATGTAGGTCAATACAGGGAAAAAACAAATGTGCAGGTAACAGTGCAGGAGTTCCCAAACTGCAGTATGGCCAAAGCCCAGCACGGAGAGGCCTGGTCAGAGGTGACTCGAGCTGTGGGACCAACGCTCGCAGCCAGGCAGCTGGGGACAGCGGTGGCACCCGGGCACCAAGACAGACCCCGCTGGGGGCCTGGCACTCAAGCAAGGGCAGGACGGAGACTTCAGCTCTTAATCTGGCAATCTGGGGTAGGGGGAGTAGGTTGGAGGCAGCCACCGTTGTAGCAGCAGAAAAGAGGACAGGGAGCAGCTGTCGTCACGGCAGATGATGTTCTAGCTTCTTATAAAGCAGAGCAAACGGATAATGAACAATACAGGGGACTGGCATAACTTGGAATGAATAATAATGAAAAAAATTTTAAAAATGAAATTCTATCATTACTGTAACACCCATTTAAGACCTTAATGTAACATAGTTGTTGCAAAACAAATACAGTGGAAAACAGCAGAGCTGTATTCATTTTAATTTTACTGACAAAACCATACTTTTATATGTTCCTTACTAAATTAAAAAAATCTTTGACATTTGTTAAAACAACTTTCAGAAGTTTCTCTGTGAACATAAATACATTTTAATCACTTGATTTGACATCACAAGGTTTAATCATATAAAGTGACAACAACCACTTGGTGAAAATATTTTAATTAGATAGTTTTGACTGCAATTTTTATTATGAACAAGACAAAAATATATATTAAGAGACTGAACCTGCTGTATCTGATAGTTAAAGTTTTTGCATTTATACTTTTAATATATGCAATATTTCTATAAATTCAGATATTTTAACCAGAGAGATTTTATAAGAGAATACCAATGTAGTTTCTGGGAACCACGATGCAGTTTTCCCTATCACCACAGCATCTACTTGCAAAAATTTTCACTGGGTTTCAATCACTATTAGGAGATCAATTCATGGTATAAAACCTCCCCTCCTTGGAAGGATTCTATGTTTGGTTAAAAACTGCTAAATTCAAGTAACTTTATCCACACAACTGTTTGCTACCTATTTATACGCTTCTGTGTTTTCTGTGTTTGTTTTATTCTTTTGTTTATAATTGTTTTTGTGACTGCAATATAATGGTCTCCTCCACAGTGCAATTTGTGGATTTAATGAATGGATAGTCTTTTATATAATCATGAAAACACCTGGCAAGATTTATGGTATTTAAAGATGGTGTTTTAAAGCCATTTGTTTAGCCTGTCAATTTTTAGTCCATGTGACATCACTTACCAAATTCAACTGCATTACTAATTAAAACCTTAAAGTAGCTTTACATATACAGTTAGCTCCATTGCTAGGGAAATTTTCATTGAATGGCCAAAATTACATACATGAACTTGACAGACAGATTTAATAATCTATTTTACAGTATAAATTTAACAGGTTATATAAGCCTGCATATACAAGCTACAGTGCATAAACGGGACGTCAGTGATGCCATCTCTAATAACATAAACATAGTAACATAAAACACTTATTTCATGGTGAGTTTTTAACCGTGAAAATCGTATCTGCTCTTACAATAGTTTCTGCAAAAAAATGCCAAACAACCCAAGCTTTAATAAACATTCTTACCTATAAATTATATCCATCAGTGAAAGAACTTTAATACAGTTGGCAGCAATTATTTTCACTGCCTCTTAAAAGTTGTATAAAAAAATAGACATTTTCCATAAAATCAAAAAATATCTGAAAACAGATATGCAGCACTTCCCAAATATTCTGTGATACTTTTTTTTAAAAAGAGGAGGAATCCAGGAAAGTTAAATTCTGCTCTCACATACACAAACAATTTAAATTGAGACCAGTGAACATAGTGTTTGCATACCTGACAGAAGAATTTGACTCAGTCTGCAAGTCTAAAATATGAAAGCTACAAAAGGTAGAAAACCCTTATTTCAGAAGCTTAACTTTGTCCTTTAAAACTTTAAATTTGGGATTGTTACTGACTTTCTTATTAAATATGACTAGAATATCCTCTTCTGATTTGTGAGGTTCGCCAGCTACTGCGTAATACTGAGCTATAACCTGCAAATACAAATAAAAAGGTACAGTTTAGAATCAACAAAGATGCTTCCATTTTAGGCAACAATACATTCATTTCACTGAATTAAAACTATCAAGGAATCTACTATGCAATTAATGCACAAGGAACTTGTACTGAATTCCCTCTAAATTCCAGTGAGCACTGAACATGCCCTGTTGCCATACTATCAACTGCTGTTCTGTTAAATAATAGTCATTTTTTGTTATATATGAAAGGATTTTACAAAGATATGTATTGGGGAAAAAAAAAGACAAAATTAAAACCAGCGTAGGTTAAAAAAAGTAATACTTTACCTTTTTTCTTAACTTTTTGATCGAAATTTCGTTGTCTGGAGCCTGTTTCAGAACAGCTTTGATGGTTCCCTTCCAGTTAAATTTGCCTATAACATAAGTAGGCACATAACAGCATTAATAATATTTGGTATTTCCAGGTCTTCTTCTCTAGCGGGAACTAACTTTCAGCCTACTAATTTTGGGAGCAAGTCAGCTACCAGGAGAGTTTATTGCTGTCTTGCTGACCTTACACCAGCGGAACGTTTCCAGCCTAAAGGCAGGTCGGCTCTTTCTGAAAATCACTAACAGGGCAGCCATTAACCTCACTAACTTCCCCAAGGAGGCTCAGGCCTGCAAAGGTAGCCAGCATAGCAGAAGCAACACAAAAGGGAAGTAATTCAGCAACCAGCATAGCCACAGCGTAGAATGGAGCAAATATGTATATGTTATGGCTGTGGCAGAATTTACTGCATGGCCTGCTGTAAAAACTGTGTACTTATATACTGCTTTAGGCTTTTTGCCAAATAATAATGACATAATTTGATAGGTCTATTAACTCTCCAAAATCCCCCTTTAAGAATACCTTTATCTGTTCCTGCACCTTCTTCACTAGCATTGGTGTCTTCTTCTGTTCCCACGTCTCCTGAAGCATTTTCATTTTTCATTTTCTTTGTTGTGAGATGAGGTTCCTC